ACGACTCGGCGTGACCAGTGAGGACGGCGGCGCAAGTATAGGAGTCGTTCTCCGGATCCAAGCGCCATAGCCGTGCTGTATTGTCTTTTGCTCCTGTGACGAGCCAGTGTCCTGACCAGTCCACGTCCAAACAGATGACAATGTCCTCGTGACCTTTGAGTAAGCCGACATCTGCGCCAAAATATTTCCCTTTTGTCGCATCGTCCCCCTCCGCTTCCTTCAGCGTGACTATCCGAATGTCTTCCGAGTTTGTGTTCAAAGCGAGTAGGGATTTGTCCAGGCCAACATAGGCTATGTCAATGACCTCGTCGTGCGTACCGGACACTCGTCGAAAAATTGGGAGTGGCGCGATGACCTCTTCGATGACGAGGGCGTCTGCTGGTTTTGTCGAGTGGAAGTTGAGCACTTGGTCCGCGTGAACCGAGATCAGGTAGGATAGAGAAGGGTAGTAGAGGATGTTGACAATCTCATCGGTCTCCATGCCGGGCTCTTGCTCCTGGGTGAGCTCTTGACCCGTCGTTGTCGACCACAATCGGACACGTCCGTGCTCGCCACCAGAGTAGATGACATGCCCATTGGCAAGGAAGCCCGCGTCTTCGATGCCTTCTAGTGCAGCGATGGTGCGTTGAGCCTTCCACCGATTTGAGTCCCAAATAATCAAGGTTTTGTCTCTGCTGCCCGATACCAGCACCTTCTCTTCTGGCGAATACCGCAGTGAACGCACAACAGACACATGGGAATCCAGCACTGCTGTACTCTTCCTTTTGTGCAGGTCCCAGATCCTGATCTTGCCATCTTCCGCGCCAGAGGCTAGGCGATATTGTATTTGGGCCTCGCCTCCTCCCTGGTCAGACTCGACTTGTTCCTGACGCGATTGTTTCCGCTTCCTCTTCTTTTCGTTTTGCGCAGCCTCACTGTCGACTTGTGTGAGCTCAAAGAAATGCAACGCCGACACAACGCCACTATGGCCGTGAAACGTATGCGTGGTATAGCCTCCGCGAATGTCCCAGACCTTAACAACACCATCTGCTCCACCAGTCCCAACAAGCGTTCCAGTGCGGTCTGTCGCCAAGGTCACGACAGGCGACGTATGTGGCCGTAGCGTTCGAAGTAGTTGGAGCTCGATTGTGTCGTCTTCCTCTTCCGAGGGACTCAAGGCATATATGAACATGGATAAGGAGCGCGAACATATTATCAGATGCGATGCAGATGGCGTTACTGATGGCTGAATTAGCATGAAATTGAGGAACAACTGATTGGCCTTACTCACAAGCCAATGCTGTGATTGTTTCCCCATCGCCCTCGACCCTCCCAAGCTCCCTGCCGTTTGTGAGGTCTGTGAGAAGGACATCTTCGCCCAAGCTTGCGGCTAGAATGCGCCCATCTTCACCCAGCGCCAAGCTGCCACCAGAATAGATTGGCTGCAAGGTTCGCGCGACCTCGTATGTCGTCTTCACAGCAGATCTTTGCGCCATTGGTCCGGGTCTGATATGTTGTCGCAAAGGACGTCTCCGCGTTGTCCAATCGACGTAGCTTGGAGGTCTGGAAAATGTCAAAAGTTTCTTATCGATAAGACCAGGTGAGACGCACTACCGCGCGCCTTGTGAACGCTAACCGCCGGCTACGGTAGGCAACGTGTGGGGCAGGCGCGTCTCCCATCTTTGTCAACTTCTTCAAATGATAGACTCCTCATCAGGTGAGTTGCGAGGCACCCCATGCAGCGACTTATCCTTAGAATGTTGCACAAAAGTCCTCGTTCAAACTCAACACTTGCCATCGTCAATGGGCAACATTCGTAACCAGTATTGCTCGCCATGGGCCGTGAAGTCTACTTAAACAAGATCGCCTTTGTGAGAAGCACCATGTCGCTCGATCCTCACATGGGCTGGACAGCTAACATGCATTATTCTCTCGTGGCAGGGCCGCTCAGCCTTTATACCCACACAGTCGGCCACCGAGTCTGCCGTCTATACGCAGCTCGAGTCGTCGCAATCTGAAATACCCCAGCGCTACTGGGAAGCGACAGCGAACAATTACCTACAGCTCTACGACGAGCGCGGGAATCCCATCAACCCTCGCGCGCGGGAATACGGAAAGAAACTCAGAAGTGCCCAAAATGACGTGCTCGCTTCTGTTGGGGTTGTACAGCGACGAGCAGCGCCCGAGGACGGCCTTCCTGGCTCTTACCAAGAGCGCATGGAGTTGCTTGAGGATGAAGACGGGATAGGCCACTTTCTGTCCCTCACCTCTAAATTCACCGAGGAGATGTGTACCTGGTGGATTCGCTCCATCAGGGCCCGAGTTATGGTATGCTATCTGTACACTAGCAGCTACGCAGTGCTGAAACCCGGCAGACCTTTCGCTACCCCGTTGGGGTTCCTTTCAGCCAAATCATTGCTAGCGAGCTGGCCACATGCGGCACCTCTCTTGCTTACGCAGGCTTTCCTTCTCAACTATGCGCTATCATAATTGAGACAGTGATTTCCCATGGTATTGTACTGTATCAGCCTCTTACTCGATTGCTACTAGTCACCAGGGCCGGTACCAGGACAAGACAGTTCTTTCGACGCTCACAAGTCGCTTTGAGGCTAGGGTCAGTCTTATCGAACACACGAAGGTGCAATGGCTGACTAGAACAGTCTTCGTTGGGCGCTGGAGGTTTTTTCGTATCCATTCTCGTACCATGCACGTCTGCAGCGCCTCGGCCTGGTACCGGCTAGTCTGCTACTACCTACCCTGACTTCTCTGAATCCCTGGTCAGCCTCATCTCCACTCTCGCCCAGGTCGATACATTACGACGCTTCTGCTGTCGTGGTCAAGTGCATATCGGCCTTTCTGACCTCACCCGTTATGCTCCTATCTGCAGAGCGCTTTGCGAACCGCCTGGTGAGCGTCTACATCCATGAGGCTATTGATACATCGGTTCTTCGTCCTAGAATTGCAGAATTACCACTTGAACTGGCTGAGGACAAGGAATTGGCGGTGAACAGATTCGGACGGAGACAGTCGCCGCCGATGATACGTAACCTGATCAACCGTGTAATGACCTGCATGGGTTGGGGCCGACCGCTCAAGACCGTGGATGTGAAGTCCCAGCAGGGAATTCCCCGACCTAATGGGCACAGGATTCAAGTTGGTAGTACCGAGGTTGACCATGTGCATCCATTAGAGATGCCAGCGGTTCGGGATCCCGCCATCTCTACGGCAGAAGTAGTCGGCGCAGACGTGGAAACTACCCGCAACGGTGCAACCAACGGACCGCACCGACCAGCAACTCCCCCAACCCCTGGACGGCATGCAGTCGATGCAGCAGACGATGACCCAAGGATCCGAATCACGTCTCGAGAGGGAATGGTGGAGATGGAAGTCCGTCTGCCATCCAGAGTACTATCCACCCACACCGAGGTCGCAGAAGGGTCCGCATCGGAGCCGGGCAATCGCACGACGGCATTCCACGAAGACCTACCGATGTCCGAGTCCGATGACGAGCCACATTACCATTTCACTCTACTGTCCACCGAACTCGCGCGAATGATCGGCGCCATGGTAGAGGCCCAGCTCATCGGCCTCGCGTTGCTTCCGCTCCAAGTCATGACCTATCGCGTAGTAGCCAGGCACTATCTCGGTAGCGGCAAAGCACAAGGCATGGTGGCACACCACGCCCGCGCCTTTGTCGAGCCCAAGACGTTGACCTGGCGCGGCGTGGGCAGTCATGTGTCACGCATAGCGCTGTGTGCAGCCGTGGAGTTTGCGATAGATCTGGGTCTCTGGGGCGTACAATACGTTGCCGTGACGTTTGTGGGCCGGGAGTGCTATGGCTGGGGCACGCTGTGAGGGAGTGCTCTGGTGATGGGTAACGTGTGGAGGGAGTGCTTTGCTGACGGCTAACGTGTGACGGGTGGGGGGACGGGGGGTTTGGTGATTGGTGGCCTACTTGAGCTTTTGTGTGTGTGTGTGTGTGTGTGCGCGTTGCGACAGTAGGTAACTTGCACACGAAGGTTTTGTTATACGGTGGAAGCATGTGTATGGTGTGGTTGTAGGTGTAGTATACATGGTCTTGGATGGGATTTGAATGGTGCTTCAACTGTCAATCAACATCCCACCACCCACTCAAAGTTGCGCAAGAACCAGTGTTGGACTAAGTGATGTGGAGGAGAAGAGTGATGGTGCAAGATGAGACCAGATGGCCAGATGTCTGTTTATCGGGGGGAGTAGATGAGTCAGTGTTGTATTTGACACTCTTATTAGCAGTGTCACTTTTTGTGTTGTTGTTTTGGTGTAGAGGTAGTAGGGAGTGAGAGTGCGGCAGGGAGGGGGGTGGCTGTGTGGCTGTGTGGCTGTGTGGCTGAAGGGCCGAGTGGCCGAGTGGCTGGGTGGGCAAGTAAGTCGAGCGGGGACTCTCGAGGAAAGTTAGCCATCCATGTACAATAGAATAGATAGAGTAGGTGGTAGAATGTGGAGATGAGGATTCGCGGGGTTGAAAGCGAGGACTGGGTAGAATGTAATGTGGTGTGTTTACTTGAAGGGGGTTTGGTGTGTTTTAGCCAGTGAGATGATGGGGTGCCAGGGGTGGGGGGGGGGGGGATCTTCTATGTACGGTAGGTACATCCGAAATCGTCCTGGTTTATCGCCCAACCTACAACACTCTATTAGGCTGCAATGGACTGTACGTCTGGTTGGTGAGCAAAAGAGAGTTGAGTTGAGAGGGACGAACACAGATGCCACGATGGACCAAGGAAGCCTGTATCTCGTTAGTCTTTGCAT